CCGGACAAGTAATGCGTATGAATGACAACCTATGGACAAGAGCCGCCAGTGACTGGATTCCACTGGAATTGACGGGATACCTCGGGTACTACAGAATGACCAACAATCTAATAAACAAAGTTCTTCACGAAAACCGTAGAACATGTGATGCTTAACGAGTTTCCAAGGCGAGAAAGACCGAATGGGCTACTGCTTCACGCGACAGGAAGAAATAGAAGATTTACTGGCGTCCGCTCGAGTCACTCGATGACCAACGTAACAACACGTGACAGGTGATATTTCACCTCGAGGTGGAAAGGTGTCGAACTGATTTGACCCACCACAGTTTCCTTAATGATAACGGACAGAATGGTTACGACCCAAAAGTATGTATGAGGAAATGCACCAGAAATAGGAGCGGTTGCAAAACACTTTGGTCTACAGAAACGGACCAATCGCACTCCATGATAACGCGCTGCCACAAAGAGCACTACAAAAAAGCCAAACGAGATAAACGTTGAGCAGGTTGATCTTCATCGACCATGCTAACTAGACCGCTCGCTCATTACCATTTCTTCAGGCATCTCGACAACCCTCTGTATAAGAAGTGCTTCGGAAACTTGAGCGGAGGCCAAAATTCCCTTCAAGTCTCCAGAGATTCGGAATTTTAAGGAAGTGTTATAAACAAAGTTGCTTCTCGTTAGCGAAAATGTGTGAATTATAACATTTTTACTTTTACCAGTAAATCCTAGTTTAAGCTGAGATATACCAGTTTGAAAATACGGTTTGAAATCGATCACAAATTTCCGAAGAACCTATTAGTTTGCTCAACATCGCCACCAAAGAAAAACAGCGGTGCATGTAGAAGAGAGAACACTATTAGGCTACGAATCGTTGTCATCTTAGATCAGGACTTTCATGAGCTTCCAAGTTGATACATCACTTTTTTCTTTGCATTAAATAGCTTTGCTGCTGATGATATTCTATTGTAAATGACATTCATTGTCAAAGAAGATGAGATACAAAAAGAGAATATGCTATTAACTATTATTTAAGGCAATGAAATAAATATTTTTATAAATGCAATATCTGAAACTAAACAGCGAAAGGTTAAGAAAATAAGAATCAAAAACTATCTTCAGGATTAAACTGTGCTTTGCGCAGTGGTTAGGCTAGAGGTACCTTGGAGTACACACATAGCCGTTTTTTTATGCCGCTGAGGCCAACCAAAGGTCTTATCCCTCCAGTTTCTGCATATCAATAACAGCCAACTATGAAGGATACATAAGTACGCCACCAAAAACCATTGTATTTCCCATGTATGGGTTCATTCACGTCTACAATGCTAGATCTTACTTGATACTTGAACGACCCGTCATCACTAGTTGTGCTGGCCCCAGCACAATCACCATTTTTCGGAAATTTGCTGGTTAAGCCATTGTGGTTCCCTGGAATCTCTAGGACAGCCTGGCCAAAGTCTGCCCCCGGTGCTTGGTTTAATCGAATATAAAAGAGTAATTCGATAAATTATGAAGATTGTACGTTATAAAATGTTTTTTAGTACAGTATTCAAAATGTAAACTGAAGATTAAGATAATAACAATTCATGACTATTTTCAAAGATGTAGTGAGACAAATCGCATCGATGAACGCGCACTTTATGAATTCCTAACACTTTCCACATATGATAAGCAATTCTTATGACGTCGGCTACATAACCATGTTTCAATAACTCCCCTACAAGTTCACTCGACGGTTTACTACTCCATACTGATGCGAGGTATCTCTATTTATCGTACTTCAGCGTATAAACTACAGCAAGCTATAAAAATAAACTCATCCAAAAAGCAGTTTTTCCCTTCAAATCACCAAATGTAGGGAATAATTCTTCTGAATTGGCCCATTCTTCATTTCTCTGCTTTCGATTACAGAAAGAATGATAAAAATGTTGTGGGCGGCAAAATGTATTTCATTGCACACAATTATATCGACCATTTGAGGCGCCACGCTTGGTTACAACGGATGCACATCGTCCGCTATGTGTTAATAACAGGGCCGTTCACTTTTGCATGAATATAAAAAATACCATAAATTAAGAAAGTTACCTGGCCGAGCATATCGCAGCATTCAATTGCGTATCTCACAAGCGTATGTAGAAATTTATCTTCTTCATTGGCAAAATTCAATACTATGTGAATAGCATTTCGAGCAACCACAAAAGGAAATCTATTCCGTTTCCAGCGTTCATGTGCGCCATTGCGAGGAGAAAGTGCTGTCATCACCTGAATATGTACATATATGTATACATACATATGTACATGTGCACATATATATACGAGTATATATATATATATATGTATAAGTATATACACATGTATAAATGTACAACTCACATACGTCTTAACAATTAAACTAATAGAAACTCATCCTGCTCCAAAATGTACTCATACTGATATAATTTCACAAAAGTAAAAAGCGTGTGCAAACAGTTCTTTCTTAACAATAATAGCTCCAATTTCAATATTCCACATATGGACAACATCCTAATGATTCATGGACGTTCTCAATACGTTCTCAAATTATGATATATTAAAACAAAAAATGAACGTGTCGAGGTCAATAAATCCGTTAACGAAGAAACATAAAACATACTTCCTCAGATCTTGTCACCTGTATCATCTGTTGCACCCTTGATCGTCGACTTACTCGAGCGAGTACCAATAAATCTTCCATTTTTCACTGCTGCTTGCAAGAGTGGCCCATTGGGTTCTACTCACTTCAAAGACCCGTTAAGCACTATACGTTTTTTTCTAGTGTTCTCGTGAAGAACTCTGACCAACGAGTTCGCAGTCTTTCTGCAGTACGTTTAACATCCCGAGGAATCCAGTCACTAACGGTTCATGTCCATCAGTTGTCGTTCATACACACTACGTGTTTGGTCTACTTTATTTTCGACAGTTTGGCGTAAAGAACGGCATCTTCGATTTCTTATCGTTGACGTAGGTCGGAGCTTCGGATTCCTTCTAACAGTTGTGTAACACGGGATACCTCTAGCATCGTCCATTCGATTGCGCTTTCAATAACACTGAGTGAACTTCCATCCTGCTTACGCAGTGACCAGGTTTATGACGCATGCGTAAGGTATGACCAACCATTATGTTGGAAAAGTATTCAGGTAGTTGGGTGTTCTTTGTTCTCTTCACTATACCCTTGATGCTTTTGAAAGCTCCCCAAACCGTACGCTTCCGCCTGCTTAACTCTGAGGTTAAGCTGCTCGCCACGTTTATTTCCTGATCTACATAGATGTAACGTGTGAAAAGCCGTACGACTGGTGGAAAATGCTTTAATTGTTCAAATATTATCCCATCCTGACCTGGTGTTATTCCAATCTTAACCGACGAAATAGCGGCTCGTATTCAGGAAGGAGGAATCGGTGGGAGGACATATCCATTCTACTTTATTTTAGATGAAGGGACGAGGACGTAGCTGTTGAAGATCTCCGAGTAGTAATCGTGACTGATTTTTAATCCTGAATGATTTTCCCCATTCTGGAAGAAGTTACAACTTCGCCTGAGCGTCAGAGTGGAATCATCTCGATTTTGGAATTGATGACGCTTCCGTGATTTTTGCGAATAGTTTCCCAGCATCTGCAACTTCAACCTTAATTGCTGCTCTTCTTTCTTTATAATTTTCTTCTATAGCCTGTTTCCCCTGTTTTACAAATCCGGATGTCAGTGGGTCTCCTGCGACCATAAACGTTGACGTAACAGCATGAGTGCTTCTTTAGACAGACGTCTCCTGGTGACTTTAGAACTCTCACTTTTCATAGTTTTAACGCGAAGATGTTAAATGAGCAGATTACATTTCTCTTTGACGTTATCCATAACGGTATTTTCTCAACAGCAGACTAACGAGCTGAATAAATCTCGCTTTTGTGGTGGTTATGGCACTTTGTTTCGTAAATTCAGCGGCTTTCTCTCTCTTTCGCGAAAAATGAAATCTTGCACTATGCGATGGTTTGACCCCGTGCAGAATTTTGGGACCACAGCGACAATGGTTATGCAAATCCTTCAGTTTACTTAGATGTTGTATACTGCGTTACAGTGCTCTCCACTGGGTGACTCTCCCGTATAGCATTAAGTGCGGTGCTTCTGGAATTGTGAGTTACCATGCGATGGTCTTGATCGTCATGATAAGCTCAGACACCGCTCTACTGCTCGTTCTATTCCAACCCGCAATATTTTGTTTTTCAGACGTTCTTTTGGGTTCAAATTTAGCGTTAAAATCTCCAATAATGACTTTGAACAATGTATGACTTTCTCTGTAGAACTTCTCCAAGTCCACATGGAACATCTCGAGTTCGTTTTCGTCATCACTTGTCGTAGGTGAGTAGACGGCGAATATTGGCAAAGCCGGTTTTGATTCAGATGTCCTGAAGTGTAAACGTCCGATTCAGGTTGTCAGATGTTCGAATAAATCGGTGTTCATGGTCGAAGACGTGTTGCCGAGAACGCCGACTCTATTATCGCATATTCCCAAAAACAGTTATTCTCTGGTGTCATAGACGCCGTTGAATGGAAGACGCCTTCTCGTCTCAGCCAGATCAATGACGTCGCATCTTGTCCTTCTTGTCTGTATGATCAAGTCTTCCATCGAGGACTCTGATTCAGGTGTGGGCACAATGTAGGCAAAGATCGTCACCTTAGTCCTCTGCGATTCAGGTTGCCTAGAATAGCCTGAGATTTTAGCAACCTCTCCGTACTCAACCAACCTAACGCTGCCATAATGGGGCTCTGTCGGGGTTACTGGAATGAGGCCCGTATATTATAGTGTTCAGTGTTTGATACTCACGTAGAGCTCGCCCAGGTGTTAACGTGGCGACTGGGTAAATTCACAGGTGCTGGGTAAATTCACAGGTGCTACTCTCTCTCAAGGAAGAGAGGTACACTTGCCTGTTAATTGATTGCAGACTTTTGGCCGAATTGATTCGCAGAATAAAATCCGTACAAACGAGAACACATTCACACGAACGGGCATGAAACGCATTCGTAAACACAGAAGTTAACGTCAAGTCGGCGCAGCAGGAACAAGGAGTATTTCCTCTGGATCCATTTGCGTCTCAGGAAAGCATAGGTCGCTTTTGGCTCGCGAAAAGCCTGCTATTTGTCATGGCCGCCTGGAGATGGACCACGTTGTCTCGCGACCAACCGGCATAAGATCCCTCTACGAAGGACATTCTTCAGTGCCACGAGCTAACACTTTGTCTCTTTGCTTCTAAAAGTTACTCAACTTTCCTCTAATATCTACGAAGCTTGAGAACTAATGAAGAAAGAACAGATAAAGGATATGCAGACATCGTGAAAAAATACCAATAATGGTAAAAATACTAGAAAACAAGATGCAGTAAAAATAGTATACTTTTTCAAACACATTCCAGAATGCGTCTAAAGCAGAAGATTTCCCAGTCTCCTTCAAATCGGAAGAGATGCGCCCAAGCAGTAAAGCAATTGACTCCCAGCTTACTTCGCTACCTTCTCCACTCAAACTGTCATCGATTAACGACTGTATAGAGGAGTCATCTGTTATAAAAGCGGCATTTAGCAAGCATCCGACACTGCTGTCACGTCAATTACCTCACCACAAAAAGCTCGAAGAGGGGAAGAAAATAATTTCGGTGGGCGCAAGAAGAGAGAATAAATCGAATCGGCTGCCGGTTCCGCGCACTCATTCGCAATCCAGATCTTGTTTAATGTATCAAAACGATAAAGAACCATAGCAGCGTTCCTAAACAATAAACAGACATACAAGAAACACTATTTAAAAATAAGAACAAGAAATGCCAAACTCAGAATTCAGAAAGGTGAAGCGATCAGCGTAATTGGGATCATAGTAACCATGTATAGCAGCAGCGGCCTTGCTTTGTGCTAGTGTTTCACATGCTGATTGAACAAGAGTAGGCATAGAGTTCATCGCAGATCGCCAACCCGACGGCATCACTGCGGTAGCCTAACAATTTCATTGATATACTAATGGAAAAATACCGCGAAAAAAAAGAATGTTCGTATGGATGAAAAACTATTTGGTAGTGAATGATAAATTTACTCCCTCGTTACTATCCATCACCGATTCATCTCAATGAGTAATCCCCAACGCAATGAGGGATATGGCGGCGGATAGAGGGTTAGATGCGGACAAAAATGGCATACACCTGCCCTTAGTGGCATGTCGATTTGAAGAATGAACTTCACTTTTAATCAATGAAAGAACCCTGAACTCTCTCAGAATATCGTTACGTCCATGACCATTCGTGCTAATTCAAAGTTCCAGAAGTTATCCTTTTGACGTTCGACGTGGGAATAAATCAGAAGACAGCACAATGAAATAGACCGTATTTCATGGAACGCTTCTGCTAACCCGTGTCGATATTATCGCAAAATTTCAAAACGGATCAAACCGTCGTTGCTTTCGCGCCACTTTTTTGCAGGAAGCAGAGTAGACCAAAAAAACTTAAGAAAAGAAATGAGACCACAGCAAACTGAGATTTATGTTCAAATCTTAAGCAGGATGGTGAGAAGATACTCCTCTCGACAACATTCTTAAGAAACAAGACCGACTTATGAAACGCGTTCACAGTCGCGCTAACGAAGCAAAAGTTTGAAATTAATGTCTCTAGAAAAACTCGAGCTGACTGGCAACCGTGAAGTCCCACAAGAAGCGTGAAATCATCAGCTTACAACCAAACTTTCCAAGCCCTGCAAAGAAGCGATATAAGATCCTAAGGAAAGAAGTACTACACGCAGAAACTGCAGAGGTTGGGAAGAGTATCGGCACGCCATGATTTAACCAATTACAAAACAAAATAAACGACCCCTGCCTCCAAACGGAACACTAAGTGCTTTCAGGACAACAATGGAAAAAGTTCCCCAAAATCCTTCGAAACTTCTATTCCAATCTCTTCGAAGACCACGTGCACCTCCCTTCTCATGAGATCAGAAAGGATGAATAACCTATAGCCCAAGCAATTCGCCCTTCAAAATCCCAACAAGCTTAACGCTGAAAAACTGAATAACACCTAGTGTGACAATACTATCTCCAAAAATCTTAATAAGTAACTTCCAGCCCTCATCAGCATAATGACTTCGTTCTTCAAACTTCATCACCAGAACGCAAAGGTTACAGACTAAACAACTACCAGAAATACCGCTTTAACATCTCCACGACACTGGCAATTACAGCCCAATTTGTTTGCTGCTTACCGCCTGCAAGCACTCCGTTCCAGTTATCATCAGTGAAAATGAGAGGTTTAGAGCAGAGAGAGACCAGTCCGTGCCATCGGAGTTTTCGAAAATGATCCATAATAGAACGCAATCGTTCAATAAAAAACCCACTGGGACATCGGAAGAGCACAAGACACTGCTCTCACTCTTTTAACGATTATAAGATCTTTGATTTAGGAAACACAAAATGGAAGCTATAATGAAAATTCTAACAAGCCACAGTATCCCTAGTCAGAACAAAAAATTCTTTCATGGGCTATATTGTAATTTTAAAACAAGAATATCATCACTTTGCAAGCACATCACTATATTTTCTTGCCATGAATGCAGGCGATTTCAACGATGCAAGTAAAAAGAAAAAACAGATCTTCAGTTGAATATAAGAAGGATGATGTTCACGAAAAACGGACCTATTCCTGGTGTCACATCAAACCTAAAAGGAACAAGTACCTTTATCTGCTACAGCTATGCGCATCTGAGAAGTTGAAAATGATCTGGGATATAGCCTCAGAACTTATAAAAGTACTAGAATTTTGGAGGACAAAAAAAGGACGTAACACATTAGACACAGATTATAGATCAAATTTACACTCATTCCGCTCAACTGTTCTTAATGCAATCTTATGTATGAACTGCTCAGCGCCCATTTCTTCATCGTATATCATTCTCTTTTCTCCAGTTATTCACCACCAACTGAAATGCACATCGGCTTCTTATCAGATGCCGGAGCAGACACCATTCACTCTAGGATTACTGATGTGAAGCTCTTTATCTGCGTCTTTGGCGAGATTGAAGCAATAGGTAGTTTGCCTCACTATCAGCTATCACTTCTTTCCAAACTCTTCAAAAGCCCCTAAAGAGAAGAGAACCCCCATATTGAGCATCACGGTACAGCTATGACAAGGCGGTAAACTTTTTACAGCGTGCACAGATTTCCATATAGGTGAAATTTACTACACTGAATCACCATATTACACATAAGCTTAACTTGAAATCTTAGTTTTAACTTTTTGAAATTGCATGAAAATTTGCTCTTTAATGGCGCAAACAACCACTTTTAAATTCAAAGCCACAATCCATACCATTCGTAAGATGTCGGACAAAAAAAGTGTCGCTTTCAATCCACTAGCAGAGTCTGGTTGTGATACGATTAGACGAGCCAGAGACTGAAACTCCAGCGATTCGACAATGATAACGGACTATGTGCAGCATGTGAAACTTGTAAAAATCCATAAAGTTTAAAAACTCGTAAAAAATTAAGAGTTCCTCAATAGTCTACCGACAATATGAAAACTTCTTCATGATATCAGAATAAATGATAAGGCATCTCTAAGAAGTATAGCCAACCTGCAGAAAACCAGCATTAAACAAAATGAAACCAGCTAGAGCACGAAATGAGGCTAGGAGGTCAACGTGACGAATTCGATCCTTTAAAAAAAGTAGGGTAGATTTTACAGTGAGTAAACTATAAGCTTTTACACATTCAACAAAAAGATGAACAACCCCGTATTAGTAAAGGAATATCAGACTTCAGGAAAAACAGACATAATCAATAAGCACAAAGGATAACTAACTTTGTCTTGCGCGATGAGCATTTCACTTTGAGCAAGTACAAAGTCGTTATTAAGAGAACTGCGAAATAAATCCGGAGTGGCTATGCCAGCTATAAATGGTTAGAAAGCAGCAATGGTAATAGAACATGTATAAAAAAACATAACACTAACCATAAAATTCCAAAGCTTTAGGCCAGCTCTCAAAAACCATAGAAGCATAAGGCACATCCATGAAGTCACAGCAAATATCAACAATCATATCCCGAATACGCGATATGTTCGAATCATCGACGGTACCCAAACCAAGGTATTCCAGTAATCTAAACTACAACTTAATTCTCAATGCATATTTTTAAAAAAGTGAACGCAGAGGTATAACGTCTCCAAAACCTTAAGATAGAACTGGTTTAGAGATAATTAAGAACCTGATCTGAATAAAAACAACCTAAAAGGTGAAGATGGAATAACTGTAGAATTTGGTCCAATTGCAGCACAGGAAAATAGACCAGCCCATGACCGAAGAATACATAAAAAGGAGTGTGAAAAGTTATGCATTGCGGCCTCGACTATTCGTTCACCTCTAAACAACGCTTATTAACAGATCTGCCAAAACTACATGAACACCAAATTTCCCATTTCTCAAAATCAGAACAGAAGCGATCAACACCTAGACGACCATGCGTCTAAGTTTCCTTACTTTCTCGCCACCTTACACCATAAATGAAGACTTTCTTTGTGCTACAAAGATGATAAATATGCAATGAAGGCATAGAAAACTCTCACTTAAAAGTTTGTCCCACTTCGGGCCCCTCCATGCTAGATTGCTAACCAGTACAGGGGTCAAAAAAGTAAAAAATAACACATAAAACAGGTTGGGCAATCAAAAAAGTGGAAAACAAGAAGATGTCACAAAGAAAAAAAGCACATTTGGTCGCCAGTGTATTAAACAATGATAATAAAATCAAAAACTTGGACGAAGTACAACTACAAGGAATCAGAGGATACAAAACAGACAAGAGAGAGTAGCAAAAAAACCTCACTGCTCGGTAGAAGACAAGTTCTTCTGGAAAAAACCAAACTCGATCAAAGGCGCAAAAATTTGCTGGAAAATCATTTTATCAATAAAAATAAACAGATTTGAAAACAATACCAAGTCTCAAAGTATTTATCAATACCTCCAAAACTAGATGCAGTTTTCCTTTCTCACGCAAACTTTGTCGATCAAGCCAGGAAACCAAAATGTGAGCCACAACAGACGCGACGCCTCGACTTGTCACACTGGCACCCATTAACACACGAACCTAAAGGGTTTCTATTTAAGGTGCACTTCGTGTACTTCACATACCATATACTTTGTATATCCAAACATACCATCCAATCAGTACCAGCCATATTCAATATGAGTTCAGGCTCGAGAACACAAAATTCCAGAAAAACCTCAAAGCAAGCAAGTGAAAGCCTGAAAATGAGGGCATTTGCAGCCAACCAAGATTTCCATAAGCGCTCAAACCACACAGATAAAGGACAGAGGACAAAGGATAAAGGATAAAGGATAAAGCTCCAAGAGTTGATCAATCCCTGAGATGCGACATGCATGCGACTCCATTAAGCATCGTTTGGAGGCGACTGAATGCATATCTAGCCTTTACAATGACTCGCGGTGGCCTACCGATGTATCGAGCTAGTGCCGCTATCCTCCCAGACAAGTCTGGTACCTATTTGCCGAACCCGGAGGAATGCCTGGTGGGCCATAGGCGCGACGAACGATTCCACGTGTGTGTTGCAGGGCACCTTCGGCCACTGCGCCACACACGCCCCTACCACAAAAATATGAGTTCTAAATTAACATATATCCGTTGTTTTCCTACGCTCGACAATCATAACTGTTTTCGATAGGGAATAGATTATGTAACAATGAGACTATTAGCAACTCAAAATTCCATGCAACGTTTTTTGCCTTCCGTGTGGAAACAACATGGAACAATAGTTATTTGAATTAAATTAACTCACCAATCTGTGACGCTTTCCTCATCATCCACCTTCTTGGAAATATTAGTGGGATCAGTAGTTATTGAAGAACATACAGCACGCAAGGCCAATGCAATCACTGGTTGCATAACCGACTTTGGAAAAGCATATTTTCTGTAAGAGAGATGTCACACTGCACATACAAAAACCGCCTAATAGAAACGCCTAATGTGAGCTCGGTACAATGCATTCGGTGCGCAAATGATTGCTACCTCATCTAAAGTATCTCAATTTTGAATGAACTTTGTTGATGGAAGTAAAAATAATGCGAATCTGCATATCTTTGACTAAAAGACCACCTATTTTATTCTATCAAATTAAAATTGTAGTCTCCTGAAGTCCATGACACATATTTATCTTCCTTTTGCGTCAAGACTTGTACTTCGCACACGACAGCAAATAAAGACATTGAAGAGAGCAAGACACAAGGTTGGTGCTTGTGTCGTTTACGTCTGAAGATGCTACTTTGAGTTGGAACTTCCAAAAAATTTGAATTTTTCTCACCTCCTGGTAACCCTAAGTCTAAATATTTTTAAAATTTAAAGAATACTGCATAAAACTATTATACACCATTGAGACGATGAAGAAAATTATCTTCTTCGACGTGAAAAATTCCCAAATCCTCAAACATTCCTGATCATCTACCCATCGTTAGCGGTCGGAAAATCAGATTCATATGTTATGTGTTACGCACTTTAGAACCCACTACATTTCAATTGAGCATTTCCAATTTACAGCACACTTTTGCTTCCATAAAAAACACAATACAATACAACGCTAGCTGACGTTTCGGCAGTATCGCCTTCTTCAGAGCCTGGAAGGGTATACTGATATACAATCTACTAGGCCAAACGCTTCAATGACACTTACAAAAAGACGAAAGACTCCTTGGTAATTACATGATCAACAACTTCTCGAAAAAACCCACCGCTTTTTCGTGATTTCCAAAGAGGAAGTTTAGAACAGCTGATTATAGTCGCATGTGGTTGACGACTGCGCCATCCCACATCAAAAATCGATGCGAACGTACGGGATCAGGTCGCGTATGACCTCCGGGCATTCGTCCCTGCTATTCATTGTAGGGTTTTTGGCATTGATCCAAAAAGCCTCTAGGAGTTTTCGCGCTGGTGTTTTGGACTCCTGTGCAAGGATATTGACTTTTACTTCAAAATCCTCTCCGCTATGCTTTTGTATCCTACGCGTGCCTAGTGGGGTGCTTCGTCTTAGTTTTCGTTTGCCGTCTAGGTGTTCTTTTATACGGATACACAAAGGTCTGCCCGTTTCGCCAATATATTCATCTCCGCAATTGTTACACGAGATCAGGTATATCGTACCTGAACTCATGCAATCACCGTACTTGCCGTAAGGGCAAATTACGCAATTTGTTGTTTCACACAGACGGTCATACAGGCGGTTGCGAACTAATTGGCGACGTAGAGTAGCCGGTGGTATTTCAACTATCGTTACCGATTCCTCTAGACTTGCCCTTCTTAAGCATCGTTTTATAGCTACGCTTACNTCTCCGCTATGCTTTTGTATCCTACGCGTGCCTAGTGGGGTGCTTCGTCTTAGTTTTCGTTTGCCGTCTAGGTGTTCTTTTATACGGATACACAAAGGTCTGCCCGTTTCGCCAATATATTCATCTCCGCAATTGTTACACGAGATCAGGTATATCGTACCTGAACTCATGCAATCACCGTACTTGCCGTAAGGGCAAATTACGCAATTTGTTGTTTCACACAGACGGTCATACAGGCGGTTGCGAACTAATTGGCGACGTAGAGTAGCCGGTGGTATTTCAACTATCGTTACCGATTCCTCTAGACTTGCCCTTCTTAAGCATCGTTTTATAGCTACGCTTACTTCATCGCTCAGATGGTCTGGGAAATATTTCGCGCAAATAAGGGGTGATGATGAGCAATGAGGTAAGCGTAGCTATAAAACGATGCTTAAGAAGGGCCAGTCTAGAGGAATCGGTAGCGATAGTTGAAATACCACCGGCTACTCTACGTCGCCAATTAGTTCGCAACCGCCTGTGCGAAACAACAAATTGCGTAATTTGCCCTTACGGCAAGTACGGTGATTGCATGAGTTCAGGTACGATATACCTGATCTCTTGTAATAACTGCGGAGATGAATATATTGGCGAAACGGGCAGACCTTTGAGTATCCGTATAAAAGAACACCTAGATGGCAAACGAAAACTAAGACGAAGCACCCCACTAGGCACGCATAGGATACAAAAGCATAGCGGAGACGATTTTGAAGTAAAAGTCAAGTCAATAGGAGTCCAAAACACCAGCGCGAAAACTCCTTGAGGCTTTTTGGATCAATGCCAAAAACCCTACAATGAATAGCAGCAATGAATGCCCAGAGGTCATACGCGACCTGACCTTGTACGTTCGCATCAATTTCTGATGTTGGATGGTGCAGTCATCAACCGTATGCGACTGTAATCAGCTGTTCTAACCTTCCTCATTGGAAGTCACGTAAAAAAAGCGGTGAGTTCTTCGAGAAGTTGTTGATCATGTAATTACCATAAAGTTTTTTGTCTTTTTGTAAGTGTTATTGAAGCGTTTGGCCTAGTAGATTGTATATCAGTATACCCTTCCAGGCTCTGAAGAAGGCGATACTGCCGAAACGTCAGCTAGTGTTGTATTGTATTGTGTTTCTCTATGGAAGCAAATGTATGCTGTTTAAAAACCTCGCGATTGCTGAACAAGAAAATGACACATTCATATTCCAATGCCGAGATTAAGAGAAAGTCGATCCTGGGAACTATTACAGCACACCTTTAATGGGAATCTCATATAACGAATTCACCGGGAAAAATCGAAAGGACACAAATAACAATATTTCAAAACCGATTTTTGTTTACCCTCGGTATGTCTAATCAACATATATTTCTTTCTTGCACCACCTAAACCTTCCTGCAGCAATCATCCGTCAGCGCAGACACCTAAAGTCCGGAGTTTTGCAAATACCTCAGCATCATCTTGGTTGTATTTCACATGATACCTTGCCGTGAAAAATTATAATATGCAGTAAATAAAAAGGTTAAGATTGTGATTTCAGCTTCAGCCTCAGCATAACTGGGTTCATTGCCGATTTGAGCTCCACAAATCAATTCCGCTGACGGGACTGCTGATGGCAGTGATTGATTGAAAACTAGCTGAGAGACAGGCGAAACAAAGGATCCGCAAGCCGTGGTTGTGAACGCGTTAACTCTCGGAAAGAGTAATAGCGCGTTCGTTCCCACCGCAGACATCTGCGGTCCGGAGTTTTGCAGATATCTCATCATTGTCTTGGTAGTCTCTATTCAGTCGACGTTTCGACGTCCTCGTCTTCATCAGAGTCGATGGTCCACAGTTGTTCGTCTTCTCGATGTGGAATGTGGCAGCAGTTTTTTACAGGATGATTGTTGTTGATAATGTATGTCGCTTCGAGGTGAGCTTGCCTCGACTAATATTCGAGCGGTGTTCTCCCAAGGAAGATCGGAGTGGGTACGACTACGAAGACGCCACATCGAGATAACGAACGGCTGTGGATCATAGACTCGGATCATTCGCTCTAAGGAGGACGAAGCTGTCAAGATGTTATCCGAATCAACCTCTTATTAGCTTAATAATCTAAGTGGGAAGTTATTATTAAAGCCAACGTTAAATGACGGTCAATCTGAAAAAAAATTTTCATATAACCGTTCTTTTTGGTGTTAGAAAATGACGATGAGAAGATGAGGCCCAGAACTAGCAGTGAGGTTTCCAGCCATATGTTAAAAATTCCGCCAACATTACTTGGTAAAAGTTGTCGATTTATTTCTATTATGAAATAGGAGCGTATACAACACTGGTCACAGTCGCCTCGAAATGAAACCGTGCTAGTTGGTTTGATCCAGCGCCATTGACCAGTGAAACCCTCAGTCTAATCAGCGTAGCCAAAACCTAGTTCTCTTGTAACACCACTGCTATGATACACTGTTAGGTTATCGTAAGTTATTGTATAGGCTAAAGTGGGGAATAACCACTATGGTGCTTGATGAAGCCGAGAAATGCGTGATGTTTCCATCAGGAATTCATTAACGCCGCACAGTTTATAATTTATCCTTCATGCTCTGAAATGAATCAAAACACATGGAGAGAGGCACAATGCCACAACTGCATGTCTTCTCGACCAACGTTATTTGGACAGTACGATGACGGTTGCTCTCAGTGCTTTAGCTGCTGTTTCCGTGGTATTCCGATTTGCCATTTCGTTCAGGAACAAAGTGTTTAGCATTATTTTTCATGCAGTAATCGCGCATTCTTCTCTGAGTCTTTCAGAAGGATGCTTCCACACAGGCATAATCGCACCAACTATGATGGCAGCACATAAATTATGACAAGAAATCGGTACTATTGACTACAACACTGACACTGCCCAAATGACCCATCCTCGCAAGCGTGCAGTACCCAACGCAACATTCTGCATTCGCTTTTTTACCACGAAAGGATTGTCCACGGTGTTTGACGTACTGAGAATACTGAATTCTGCGAATACTCTCTTTTTTTTTTACAAAGACGCCTGACCAAAAGGATTACTTTAAATGGCGTACTTTTGGAACAAACTTTACGTTCATGTACCCAAAACTCTTCTTATCCTCTCATGATGCCTTTCGAAGCCTCGTTTTTGGTGTGTAATTTCCCGAATTTCCACGAAGAGTTGATTATCGACGGTCTGAATTGTGAAGTTGGACATGACTGCTTTATCGTTCATGCGCTATCTAAGTGTTCACAAAATTCTTGATTCAGATGAGCTGTTAGGCCATTCATCATTTCACAAGTACGTCCTACTCGTAACATCACGGCTTTGAGGAAGACGAAATCGCCAAAACGTCAGCCATCGACCAACAACAACGACAACGAACAACCGATACCAACCTCGCATCAACTCAAAAAGATCACTCTATAAGATCGTATAAATTAATAAATCAACTATCTCTGCCGAGATTTATAGAAAGTCGGTCTTTTGAGTTACTTCACAAGTAACTTCAATAGTTGAATGGAAAGTCACCAACGAAATTTTATTCTACTTTGCTTTATTTTGCTTGACGCGTCTTCACGTCTACTGTGAGGATCCCAGCACTTCTCATCTTCGATTCGTTTCCTCGCATCCATAATCGACTAAGGTGTTTCAATTTTATGTATGGTTTCGGTTGCAGCTTGAGGATTCTCACTTCATCTTGAATGCCATAAAATGCTGGTCTCTCTGGAGTCCTGAGAAAATCGGACTGGGGCATTCCCAATTGGATTATGGAGAGTGATTCTTTCTCAGAGAAGTCCGGTATCAATTTCCCGACCCAGGAGGGATGAGAGCTTGGTTGGCCGGGAGCGTAATCGAACTAGTACCACGCTCGTGATGACGGACATCACTACCACTGTGCTATCCGTCTCCCCACTAACGAAACAACACCCAACAATAACCATGCAGCAAGAATGGGGACGAACGCACATGAGTATAGTAGTATGTGCCCGACAGTAGCTGAACTCCACAACTCTCGGCGTACTTCACTAAATCGATGCCAACACCAGTCTAGACAGTGGAATAAATGTGAAGGAAAAGGATCTGTTTTCCAGCGAGTGCATCTAAATATTTTGCAAAGTATTTCCCAAATATAACAAAGAAATAATGAAATAATTGCTTTGTTTCAGTGCTCACTAGGATTCAAAGTATTTTGTTGGCTGTGTAAACGGCTGTCAACAAAATATGTATAAAATTGAGGCAAATCAGAGCACAATATTCATTTCTTTCCTCCTGCTTTCTTCCAGCAAAATGCTGTTTTGGTGCAGTTTGTTTCACTTTTCAGTATGAAGTTAATACCACTCATTTGTATCGCCACCTTTGTAAGAAGTGAAAAAAGCTTCGAAGAGAAACTAAAAGAATTAAACCAGTTACTCAAAAATGTACGTAAGCTATTTCATCGGCGAAGACTTTGCAGTTTATCAGTATTTTGATTTTCTTCCTTTTAAGAACCCGCTTTTACCAGGAACGTAATGTGGACGATAAAATAAAGGTCCTCTAGAAATTGTACAGCATAGAAAACGAGATCAAGGACGAACTAACTGTGTCTACAAAGGCAAATGCCAATGTAGTTAAAGCCATGCGAGTGAGAACATTGTTTTCTGAATGGAAGTTGATGAATTAGTAAATGGGAATCTTTAGAATTACGGCCCCATCAAAAAGACTCTCGTAAAAGCAATGGGTGACACAATCGAAGAAGTTGATCTGAACAGCGAAATCGACATGGCATTGCTTCAAGGAGACATAATACTCACGAAGTACGTTAATTTACAGAACTCCGCTTTGCTGAGCATTTTCGTTCTCTATTCTGCTTTCGTTTTCAGAGAACAATCTGACGAGATTATTCAAGACATCAAGGAAAACGAAGTCAAACGTAACAAACGACAAGCATTCCGTGACAAAAAATACCCCAAAACATTGTGTCAAACGGACTGATTTACGCCTTCTGGAATGCATGTTTGCCTTTATAATTACTGTATTTCCACGGAGATTGCTTCAGGGCCGAAGTAAGAAATAATATAAACTCAGCCTACGACGCAAGAGTGGTTTTCAAAAAAGTTGTAGGGGTATGAGCTTATGAAACCTGTATTGACTTCGGAGACGGCCGCACAGGTAAGAAGAGAAGATCGGAGATTGGAAGACGCTAAAGCCATCAAAATATAAAAGTAAATAAAGAACTAAATTTCGAGTTGCCCATAGAATCAACGTTTTCAAAGGTGGAGGTTGCTGGTCATACGCTGGAAAACTTGCAGGTGTACAACGCCTCTCACTAGGCCTCGTATGAGAATCGGTATGAGGCGTGAACTACTTCATTAGCTTGTTATTCAGTTCTTCCTGAACATTTTGGATATCGTGAGCAAGAACTGCTAACGTTGATGCATTACAAAATGACATTTTTTTCGCAAGTTGGGACCGCACTGCATGAGATCGGCCATACCTTGGGACCACTCCATACGCAGTCAAGACACGATCGTGACGACTTCGTAACACTTTATCCAGAAAACTTTCGGATAAATTTAAAAGCATAGATAGTCATAAATATCAAAGATGTGATTTCAGGATGGCTGGTTGTCTCAATTCATAAAACAAAATGAAAATAGTAGCTACAACTATAACCTTACTTACGATTACGGAAGTGTTATGCATTATACAGCGAGGTATCTTTGCGTCAAGTTGTCTGTGTTTTCTTTTAAACCACAATGGAGTGACCATGATTTTAATTGAAGTGCCTCAAAAAACGGCAAGCTCATCGTAGTACCACGCGATGTCAAGTATATTGAAACCTTTGTGGAGATGTTTCAAGTGTTTAGACTCTGTGATTCAAAGAATGTTGGAATAGCTTTGATCTCTACGTACAACATCGTCCCTTTAATCACTTTCAACAACAGCTACTAAACAACAGTTGTTCTACGTTACTGAATTGGTAATGTTTGAATATACATATATATATATATATATATATATATACATATATATATGTACATATATACACATATGTGTATACATATTTACACATATACGTATATATATATAGATATATACATATATATATATATGCTTCCCAAACTGCTTTTTTATGAAGTTATTGTGCTATAATGATTTGATGCAGCTTCACCTGGTCCGGTGAATTCTGAAACGACATACCGGCCAACTGTAGGTCCCACTACTTTGCCAACATATACTTCTAATCCTGACTGCAAGGACATTTCTGATTCCGTGTATGTGCCGCTATTGCTGCTTTATATTCTTACAAATTCTAGATATTATACTTGTTTAGATGCACTACACTAATCACATGGGACTTCTGTCATTCCTCCAAGTACGATGAGAAATTGAGAAAACTGATCTGCCCGCAAACGTGTAATCTGTGTTAATAAGCCCTAGCTTTCACTCCAATAAATGATTTTACATATCATCTCTCAAACATTGATATACTTAAGGTACCTAAATGTGTTGATAAACATGCGTTGTATGTTATATATACATATATACTCTGCCGAACTAACTAATACATGCACAGATAAATTTACCAGAAGTTTATAAGAACACACAGAGATATCGACGCTTATTCAGAAAATAGCAGTTGCCACAAATAGGCATCGAGAATGTTCATTGTCTACGGCACGCCCGTCAAGATATAACGATGACTTGGTTAAAGCCGTCTACTTGTGCTTAGGGACGGTTCCAAACAGTATGCCATACATTATTAAAGTTGTTCCTGGCGATTTGACACAGTAGAACTTGGAAGAACGTTATACTGAGAATTAGAACTTAGTTAAAGCTTTCGGAAAGACAATGGAAGTCGCTTAACAATACTATTCTGACCTTTTACAAGGTTACATGAGGTTAATAATCAATTTTTATTCCGTTAACGTTTTGACGTCTTCGTCTGCATCAGAGCCGATGATCCGAGTCGATCGCCCACAGTTGTTCGTGTTCTTGTTGTGGCGTCCTCGTCTTCGTATAGAGCCGGATCCTCTTCGGTGAACACCGCACAGATGAGGCATGCACACCCGACGATGCCCTTATATACAGGACGCTGGTTATTGATAGCAGCGATTACAAATGTTTTGTTTTGAAACATTTGTAGCAATCGCGAGGTTGTTATTTAGCACACGTTTACTTAGACAAAAACATATGCAACACAACAGTGACGCTTCTGTAGTATCTCCCACTTCAGAGCCGAAAGGGTATACTGACAAGCAATCTACTAGACTAATGGTTTCAAGAACTCAGAAATATGAAAATCTCAATGGTCAAATATGGTCAATAGCTTCTCGAAAAACCCACCGTTTCTTACATGCTTTCTGCTGAGGAAGAATAGCAGCTCTGAGTCGTATATAGTTGATGAATGCACCATCCCACATCAAGAATCAATTCTAAGAAACAGCGCTAGATTACGTGTGATTTCGATGCATTTTTCACTGCCATTCATTCTCGGATTCTTGGTATTTATCCAAAAACCTCAAGTTGGCATCCTGTGAAAATACCATTTTCACCTAGCAAAGACCATAATATTTCAAAACCGACTTGAATGCAGAATGGATTGTCCGGAAAAAACAAGTTGTTATCGCTGGGTAATCCCTACTATCAACAGTCAGCATCCTGTATAAAAAGGTATCGCCAGGTGAATATAGCTCATTCGAGAAAGATGCCCCACTGAGGAAGAGGATCCAGCTCGATACGAATACGAACACGTTACATCGAAAAGACGAACAACTGTGGACCAACGGCTCGGATCACCGGCCCTGATGAAGCCGAAGACGTCGAAACGTTAGCCGAATGAAAATTGTTTATCAAACTTGCGTAAGCTTATCAAAGAAAGAATACAAACAACACTGTTTGTATTATGAATTTCGAGTACGGGAGCGTTAGTGTTAATGCACATGTTGGTTTAATGGTAACGTAATACAACATGAACAACAAGATGGTTGTCGCTTACCAATAAACAACTATACTTATTATTCATGCCGAGGTGAAAATTCCCGTGAGTTTTCAAAAGAGTGTGAATGGCACAAGCATCAACCCAACGTGAAATAAGTGATCATTTCAACTGCGCAAGGAGTTCCAAAATGAAAGCAAAGTGTCAGGTGTAAAACACCCGCTCATTTTCATGCATTAAAATAGATTATTACTTGAATATTCAACTTACTTGCCCTCTCTTTGAGCAGCAGAAAACTCAATAAGCCTCTTAAGATGAGAATGTTGGTAAATGCCCATCATTGTGACGATTAGTTGCAGAGCATCTTCACGTTCCATGTCATTATTAACATGAAGATCCAGAGCGCTGTAATAAAAGGATTGTTTGTTTTTTTCGTCTAGTCAAATCGTTAGTGCTTATTGAATAAAAGATTTTACAGTCTTTTAAAAACTTTTCACCTTCTAGTGTACAGCAAAAAGCTAATAGACAATGGAGTCTTAGACAAGACTAAAAGCAGTACGAGGAACCCCAACATTAATAATAATCCATACACAGTAACACCGACTTCAATGGAAATTTATCAGATATAGCATACTTATTTGGATGTATATGTCCTAGTTCGTAAAATACTTTATTAACTGAAATAAAAGCAGGTGTCAGCGGTGGAGAACGAACGTGCTATTACCCTTTCTGGTGCTAACGCGTTCACCACCACACAACGTGTATGCTTGATTCGTTTATCTCTCAGCTAGTTTTCTATTCACCAGTGCTATCAGCAATCACCTTTCGATGGAAATGATCTGGAGAGTCCAAATCGGCAACGAACCCAGTTAATTTGAGGCTGCAGTCGATATCACAAATGACAACTTTTTTGTTTACCTCCTATAAGAATTTTTCACAGCAAGGTATTATGTGTGATACAATCGAAATGGTGCTGATATATTTGCAAAACTCCGGACCGCAGGTGTCTGCGGTGGGGAACGAAAGCGTTATTAACCACGGCGGGAGCTAACGCGTTCACCACCGCACCTTGCGTGTTCTTCGTCTCGCCTTTCTCTTACTTAGTTTACTGTTTAGCAGCACCTACCCCTGAATCAATCCCATTGATAGGTGATTTCCGATGGAATGAATGTGTAATGGCAACACCCTGCCTTACCGTACGGCGTAGATATCCGCATGATTCGTTAGTAAAAACACCAGGTTCTTTTCCGTGAACAAACAGAGTCGTAGAAGACGAAAACACACTGCGCGTATAGCAGGGTGATCATCCCGTAGAAGTTCCATAACGCTGAAATGATAATGATCAGATGGAAAATGCAACAGAAGACCAATCAAGCATAATGATACTGCGATATTCGCAAAACCCTGGACCACAAGTGTGTGCAGTGGGGATCGAACTCGCTATTACCGTTTCGCATCTTTTCGTTAGAGGGTAATAGCGCACTTGTTCTCCATTCCAGACACTCCCCGCTCAGGGGTTTTGCGAATATACCCGCTTATGATGGTTATATTTCACATAATACCTTGCCGTGAAAAATTGTAGTAGGCAACAAATGAAAAGTGAACATTGTGATTCCAACTACAGCCACTTTTGAAGTTAAAGAGAGAAACAAGGTTTCACTTAAATGTTACAGATCAGGACCATATGTGGTTCTTTATAGAATTTATACGTTCCTTTTTAAAACTGTTGATAATAATGATAATGGATGATAATAAGCAATCAGATTAATGAATAAAGAATGAATTAGACGAGGACAGAGATAAGAAAAAAAAACAATAAAAAGGATACGAAATAGGAAAAACTGCAGAAAAACAGGCGCGACACTGAGAAGAGGAACACAACAAAGTGGGAACAAGTAGCCAAAAAATAGGATGGTGAGGGTATTTAAAACATAAGACGAAAACGAAAAAACGGAAACATTCGTGATAAATAACAAACACCAGTCTAAGAGACTTTCTTGATGAATTCCTTTGGTTCCGCAGCGAAAGTGCAAATTCATGGAGCGCGTGGTCAACGAAAGAAGAGGCCTAGCAATGAAACTAATGATTTGCACCAAAAAAATATGTTAGCATTTCGCCTTTCTCAAGAAAATAGGTCACGTTTCTATGCATTTTACTCACTGAGTAAGAAATACAAAGATAAACCAAATAGGAATAATAAGATTAATACTTTTAAATTAGCAATTAGCATATCTCTCACGTATGCAGTGTCTGAGCACATGAAGCATATTGTATTTCACAAAGCTATCCATCTGCTAGTACGACAAACACCTACCACCATTATCAAGGTGACCTGTGAAGGTGCCAATAATTCGTCGTTCGCCACTGCATAGCAAATCACAGTAGTATACATACAAATGCTTTACATGTAGTCTTGAGGACAATACTGAACAAATCGGAGTAATACAGCTGCGCACTAGCAGCAGTACTCGTCTAGCCTTGGATGCAATGCTGAACAAATCTGTGCAGCACACTAGCACGCTTGCAGCTGTGCTCATCATATTCCGTAGAATAAAATTAGCGTTTAAATAAGTGGTCGCCGCTCAACTAACACGTGTGACATGCACGATAGCGCCTCTGATATTGAAACGTCATGAAGGATTGGTGCTTGAGGCATACAATGAATTTCCTGAAGCGGAATTCTTCACCCCTAGCAGTTGTCATCTTACCAATATAGATGATAATATAAAATTTAACTGGGTTACATTGACACTATCCTTTTATCCCCATGGAAAGCGAAGAAGTGTACGCACTCATTTAGGTAAGATGCGGCAGATTTTATTCCATTTTCCACGTCTTTCTATCCTCCAGAAGCATTCCAAGCAACCTGTTCCCTCCCTATCTACTCATTTTAGTTTCAAGTCGCTAAACACCTCCCATTTTTCTAAACGCAGGTAAACTAATTGGTGGATTGTTCAACACATTGGTTTCAGTCTGTGAGAAGAAATAACACTATAAACAATTTTCTGAGGAAAACATCTGCTTCATAACATCTTTTCCATTCCCGTGGACGAAATCATCCGTAACAAACTACCGGTACTAAGCTGTGATCAGTACCGCAAACAAAAGCGAAGTTTCGGCCACCTATATTCCAACTCTCCGAACGAGAATTTCTTGAAGGTAATTTCTAAGGAGTTGCGAAGCTTCGTCGGTGAGATGATCTTCACTCTTAAAACGTATTTACACACGCTTAACTTCAGGTAGCTGATATACAGCATTGCATTCCGCAAAACACAGCTTAACGTGCATTCTAGAGCACTTTGTTGGACAAATCTTACTCGACAGAATCAAAGGTAGCCTAGGTATCTTTGCTATGAGAAACAGCGACATACAGCACTTTAATAGTACTTTGAGCTACTTCAGTTTAAAATTACAAGACATATACTGTCAAAACCTTTTAAACACTTACGGTTTGACTCCATAGGAGTTATACAATGCGAAAACGATGGCTGCTTTCACTCTTAGAATCAATACGTTGAATAAAAAGAATAAAGCCCTTGGCGTTGATCAATCCCTAAGAAATGTGCCATGCATTCTACTTCATCAAGCACCGTTAGAGACGATTAAATGCAAATCTGGCTTGTGCAGCGCGCCCAGATTGGCCTGGCGCAAATCTGTCGTCCTGAAGACATGGAAGGCCTGGTAAGTCCAATGCGTAAGATTGAACCAAAGACCACATGCGTACTGCATGCCACCTCTAAGCGCTGCGCTACACACATCCGTCAATATATTATTTATAAATTTCCATTTACTGCCCCCTATTATACTATACTATATTTACATTTGCAAGTTTAGCTCTTTCCTTGGAAATTTCAAAAATCAAAACTATAATTATTTGAAAGTTTTCGTTCTAAACATATCTGAATCGGAAAGGATACTGAATAAAATCACATATGCGATAAATGTAAAAAAAACAAAAGTCTCTTCTATAAAGCGAGAGATCTCTGAACTAAAATACTCCATTGGTCGAGAAATTACCGTAAGCTATTGAAAAACTGGGTCGAGTGTAGTGCAGTGGTCGGAGGCGTCTTGCAATACAGATGGGATTGATTCCCGCGCACAGGCTACCAAGCCTTTAATCCCTCCGGGGTCGGAAAATTGGTACCAGACCTGTCTCGGAGGATAGCAGCACCAGCTCCGTACATCTGTAGGCTACCGCCAGTCCTTGCAAAGGCCAGATATGCATTCAATCACCTCCAACGATGCTTAATAAAGTCGAATGCATCACTTAGCGATTGCTCAATGTGGAAAGCTTTTTTTAGCTTTATTGAAAAACCAGCTTCTTCGAGAAAAGGTCAATGGGAAACAAGGAAAACATTCATTTGGATTTCATTAGTTGGCGACAATCTAAGTCAAAGCTTACTGTCAATCTACGCCAAAAACGACGGTGGCCTCAAGATACTTGCTTGGATACTTGGACGGCCCGTCCTAACTGGTTATGCGATACCCAGCATATTCTCGATTTTCCGCAGTTTTGCTGGTTTAGCCATTGTTTCCCTGGAGTCCGGAGGCCAGCCTGGCCATCCTGGCCAGCCTGCCCCAGGTCATCATCACCACAGGCAGTCGCTGCTCTCGTGAATCAGAGGTTGATTCGCCACCACGCGACTAGTTTGATACCATGACGGTGTTAGACCCTGGTATTGGTTTACTGTTAGTTGAGCATCCTGAAGCAAACGCCGGACTCCTTCTCTACATGGGAGGTCCTGCCTGGGGGATGAATACCCCCGCTGTACATCGCAGCCCAGCACCCCAGAAACACTTGTGAGCTACGATGAGGCGATAAACCGTTCTGAGGAACCCCAAAACTCGGCATGAAATTACTTCCGAGCAACAGGCTGCTGTAATTCGTCCAACATTATCGGGTCTGATGCTTTGCAGTGTACAAAAGATTTACAGAAAGTATGACATGCGAGATGCATTGTTATTTATGGCGTTTGATAACGGTAATTCCGAGCCAGGAAACAAAAAGATGAACGATATTGTACATTACATTCTAACTTACAGTAAGCACAACTGCTCGAAGAAAGCCGAGTCCTTCAGCGCCTCAGGTAGAGTCTCGCAGATGAGTGAATGCAGTTGATTGAGAAATGCACGCCTCACTTCATATCCTTCACTTAGCGCCTTAGGTGCGTTCTCAAGAATGAAATGGATAGAATCGGATTTGTCTCTGAAAGGCGTTACAGGCGGCCTCTGAGTGGTCCCTGGAATGAGATTTGCTTCGCCCACAAAAGGGAAGTGAATTCAAATTTGCCCCACAACTGAAAATAAGATAAGAAAACCTTACGCCGTAATGGGCGCGCTCCTCCAAAGCGCGCCACGTGTGCATCCGCGCTTCCGCGTCTTCGGGAGAAACGACGATCCTGACGGTTGTTCATCAGGCTGTCTTGTGCGGTCAAAGAACAATCCAGTTCTTTGTCATGAATTGCCGTCAATCATCTCTATTTCTTAAAAAAAACACTGGTATAGTGAAAACATACTGAACAACATCCACATCAAACACTGGGGAGATAGCCATGAGCCTTGATCGTTGAGCACATCGAGGACGAATAGTTGACCACCCTTACCGCCCAGACTAGCGGTCTTCAATTTTATTCCTGATCTTATTCTGTGTGTAGCTACGGACACCGCACGTAACTGCCGTCAAGAAAATGGCATGCTTTTTCCAGAATACCTCCACCAAGCTTCCTCACTATTCACTACATTCTTGGTTCATTTTTATTTTTGTAAGAAATCAGACTGTTGTCAACTTTATCTTAGGTTATATCTTGTAAGAAAAAGGTGAATTCGCGAATTATCAATTTATTGAAGCCGACTTTTAGAAATTTTCATGATAGTGGATCGTGCATATCTCAACCCTGAGTAGCCTCATTTATCTTTCGAGCCACTATTTCAGTTGAACCTATGAAAGTCTATGGTTTATGTTTCAGGACATATTCGATGTCCATTATCCATGAAATGTTTCACATTCAAGTATAATATGAGCTTGCGTTATGTAGCGATATGCCCTAGTGGTCTGGTTCTTCTTTTTCAATACATTCAACATACAATGTTTATCGAGGTAGTAAGTGGGTATACAATCGGAGACGAGTTAAAGATGGGAGTAATCAGGGCGAAACTCAAGCGTCAGCTAGTACTTACTTGGATACTTGGATAGCCCGTCCTCACTGGTTGTGGGGGCCTAACAAAATTTCAATTTGCAGAATTTTGCTGGTTTACCCATTGTGGTCCAGATGTCGGCGTAATGAAAGTCTGCTCCAGGTCGTCACCACTCCAAGCAGTTTCCGCGTTTGTGGATCAGAAGGAGATTCGCCACTATGCGACTATTTTGATACTAGAACGGTTGTGCATCCTAATATTGGTTTACTCCTAGCTGGGCTTTCTTAAGAATGCGCCATACTCCTTGTCAGCATGGGAGGCCCTCCGGGGAGATGAATCCTCCCGCAGTACATCGCAGTCCGACACCCAGGAACAGCTCCCAGCCACGATGAGGCGGTAAACCGTCGGGAAGAGTGTCAGCTAGTAGAAAGCAAAATAATATTTCAAAACCAACTTTCCTTTAACCTCGGTGACTAATTAATACTTTGTCTTTATTTAATAAGCTTGCACGAGGTTGATAAAAGCATAAATCCCTCGGCGTTAATCAATTCCTGAGGGTTGCGCCATGCATTCGATTTCATTAGGCATCGCTGGAGGTGATTTAATGTATATCTCGCCTTGACAGTGACTCGCTGTAGCCAGTGCTGCTGCTATCCTCCCACACAAGTCTGGTACCAATTTGCCGATCCGGAGGGATAGAAGGCTTGCTGAGCCACGGGCGCGGGATCGATCCCAGTGTGTGTCGCGGAGCGTCTCCGACTACGCCACTTGAGCCCTTGAGGTTGATACATAATCGTTATTTCCGGCTAACGTTTCGATGTCTTCGCCTTCCTCAGAGCCTATGGTCCGCAGTTCTTGTGTTCTCGATGTGGCATCTTCGGCTTCATATTGGGTCGGGTTTCCTTGGTGGAGCATCTCTCGAAACGTCAAAACTTTAGCCAAAAATAAAGGCTATGTATCAACCTCGTGTAAGCTTATCAAAGAAAGAATACATGCTGATTAGTCAATTGTCAGCATTCCGATCGACTTTACTATTCGGTCCACAAATGAAAGAAACATGGGCTAGTCGTTAGTACTGGAGATTTCATTTATCGTTGTGTTAAGATTCCCGTGCTACTAGTTTACGCACACATCCCAACGGCTTACCGCCTCGTCCTGGCTGGGAGGTGTTCCTGGGTGGCGGGCTGCGATGTACAGCCGGGGATTCATCCCCGCAGCAGGGTTTCCATGTTGAGAATGAGTCTAGCATTTTCGTTAGGAAGCCCAGCCAAGAGTAAACCAATACCAGCAACCACCATCGTCCTGGTATCGAACTAGTCGCATGGTGGAAAATCTCTCTCTGACCGACAAAGGTGGCCACTGCCTGCGGTGGTGACGACCTGGGCTTTACTTTGGCAAGGCTGACCTCGGGACTCTAGGGAACAATGGTTAAATTT